AAAACTGTTTGTTTTAAAAAAGAAGTTTATTGTGAAAAACAGTTTTATAAAAATACAGATTATTTTTAAAACAAATTGAGAACCAAACAAACACCCAAATCACAGCACATCAATGGCAATTCACAGAAAACAAACACAACAATCAAACACATCAACAAATATATCACAGAATATTGCAATCACAGGCAAATCACAAACAAAAAGCCTATCTATTACAACATTCACTCGTGACTATTCCACCGAAGGTACTCGAGAATCACTCACAAGAGTGAGGATCGGAGTTTTGCAACCTTGGTATCACAATGCCTTTACAATCGATTGGGCGGAATTTAAATGCGGATATTAAACTAAATTAAAATAATAGTAATAAAATAGTTAGGGTTAAAGGGTTTACCCTCGAAGCACAGCAACAATATATTCCCTACAGCAGTACAAGGGTATATACATATGACCTATTCTTTTTCAAGAATAGGGGTTAGCCAACTAATAACAACAAAACCAGAAACAATGTTTCTCCTCTAAACGAAGTTAGAGTCACCGAAACTCACAAAAACAGACACTAGGCCACAGAAACAATTTTTAACAGAAACAGTTTTAACAAGATCTTTCAAAAATAATTTTTGGTTTTAAAGATTCTTGAAAAAATTTTGGATTTTAAACCCAAAAGCATATATCTACACGAAAATAAGGCGAAAACACAAGTTTTACGGTTTATTTTCTTAAAATAACAACGGACAAAATCGGTTTTCACCAAATCGAAACGATTTTGAACCATTCTAACTGAAATGGACTCGAACTTAACCGATCTACACAAAACAGTAGCGATTAAGTCCAAACCCAACATTAACAGTTCGACCGCGGCTATATTAGCACGGATCGAAAAACTCAATGGCCGATATAGACTCAAAATCAAAGAAAACGAACCGAACACAGTGTAATAAGTTTGTTTGAACCGGATCCTTTCGATTTCTCACGGATCTTAAAGATTTAAACCAGATCTTTACAAAAAATCAAAAGTAACGATAATTTTGTAAAGAAAACTTCACCAAAAGGCTCTGATACCACTTGTTATGAAATAAATGCGGAATAAACTTGATTTTATTAAAGAAAAATCAACAACAACAAAGAAAAGTTTAAACTAGGCTTGGTTTTTAGGCTCAGCCCCCAATATCACCCACTAAAGCACAAAATCGACACAAAAACACATAAAATGCGACATACACAACCAAACCGGCCCGACACCCACAACCTAGACCGAAAACAACCCCCACAAGTAAGGAAAAACAAAGCAACGGTAGAACAGCGGCCAAAAAGAAAAAAGGAACCACACAAACCGAAGGCTAAACTCGATGTCGAACCCCTTGCGGTTAGAATCGAGACAGAGGGAATGATAGCACCTCTAATCTCCACATAAAGCCGGAGAAAGAAGCTCGTCGGAGGTCGCCAGAGAAGATCGCCAAAATATTGCCAAGAGAGGAGTGTTTTGAGAGAGGCGAGAGTAGAGAGAGGTGAGAGCATTTTAGAGAGAGAGAGAGTGAGGGATGGTCTGTGCGGCTCCCTCTCTCTACACAAATATATATATGTAGGTTAGATCAGATCAACGGCCAGGGTTAAACCCCTAGATCAAACGGTCCACAGCAAGTCTAAGTAAGTATATGCGGGTCGGGTCATGTAACCGGGTTGGAGGGTTGGGTCACGGATTATGGGTTAGGGCCAAGTTTAATTGGGCCACAAAATATATATCTGTATGTGTTTGTGTATGGATCCAATAATGGTCTCCAAAATTATCATCAACCAAAATTTTATAACAAGAACTTCAAATAATAGTTACAAACATAGTCATGGATCAGCTTATTGACTTGGAGTAGTGAGAATACAATGAAATTCTTAAATAACTTTTAGAATGTGATTCTCTAAATGTTTGAACTTGAATATAAGTTTTTTTATAATCATAAAATTTTAAATTAAAATAGTATATGATGTTAAGTAAATGTAAATATGAGTTTAACTTGATATTTTAAATAAAAAAATATATGTTGATACATTAGATTAAACCTGACAATTTGATGGGAAATTAAAGGAATAGTGCAAGACCATAACAAACTTCCTTCCGTTTCCTTAAGATCTGAATATGGTAGTCTCGCACTATTCACATATATTTATTTCAAAAGAATTAAATCAAATATATATATTTTTTAATATATTATAAAAAATTTAAAATTTTCATTTAAAACATTATATTTTGTGTGTGTTGTGTGTTGGGGTATTCGCAATTTCCGTCCCTATAGTTAACCGTCTTTTCAATTTGTGTCCCTATAACATTAATTTCGTAAAAAATGTCCCTCTTTTTTGCTAATCTGTGCAAAATCTAGTCTAAACGGTAATTAGAAGAATATTAAGGGTAATTGAAGAACGCAGTTGACGGAGTAGGCACGTGCCACCCACGTGACCGTGCATTAGACCAAACCGGTTCTCATTAGACCCGGTTCTCCACCGAACCGGTTCGGTTCAATCCCGGTTCGGTTTGAACCTGGTTCGGTGGAGAACCGGTCTATATCTTCTCCAGACCGATCTCATTCCCCTATTTCTCAGTCCAGTCGTGAGAAGCCCTAGGTCCTTCGAGCATCACCATCATTAAACGATCTAGATTGAAGGTAGAGTTCAGTTGCTCGTTCCTCCAATTCTTGCCGGATTTCAGAGAATGAGCTCAATGTTTTCATCCCGAACCAATTTCTCAAGAAATCCATAGATTGTGGAGTCCCCAATCGAGGATATTCCATAGTTGGTGTGTAGATGTGGATATGAGCTCCCATTGCTTACCTCATGGAGCACAAGCAATCCCGGTAGGTGATACAGAGCTTGTCCTAACTATACGGTAATTTCATTTGTGTTTTTTTTATATAATTATTATTATTTTTGTTTTTCATTATGAAAATATTTAATTGATTTTAATTTTTTAGAAACGTGGAAATTACTGTGGTATGTTTGAATGGTGGGATGAGGAACCCACAGATAGATATAAGGAAGTGATCAATGCATTGGTGTCTAAAATTCATCGGCTCGACAATATTCAGAAGCGAAAGAATGTCATCGACGTGGATGATGATGTTGTTGAAGTTGACGTGCAAGAAAACCAATTGATAAAGAAGCTAAATCTATTGGAAGAAGATGTTAAAAGGATGAAACGCCAGAACAACAAACCTCCGTCGGTGCATGTTGGCTATATTAAACAGCATAGCAGTTTAATATTACTTAATATGGCGGTTATTGCGCTCATTTTTCTGGTATTCGGCTTTATGGAGATAGTCAACACCACCTCACCTCCGAAATTGGCTATCGCCAAAGGGTAATATTAGTGATAATGTGTTGCGTGATCCAGGTGTTGGATTGTTGTTGTTATATCCTAAGTCGAAATGTTGATGTGTTGTGTCGGTCTATTGTGTTGTTGTAATATTTTTTGCTTGAAACTCAGCTTTGGATTTGGATTCTCGTGTTGGAAGGAGCATTGCTTGTTATTGTATGAAGAAATGTTGTAGTCGTAATATATTTCGCATCTTTAAGTTTGATCGTGATCAATTCGTTTATATGGAATGTGATTACAAATTGGAGCAGCTTGTGTTGTGTATAGTGGGGGGACCTGTGTTCGTTTGTATGGAATGTCAATGGTGTGTAATTATACAACTCAGTGCATGAATCAACCTATGCAAAAATGTAAAATAAACAGCCACAATTAGGCAACGATTGATGAACCTGTGTGCATTGCCAAGAAAAAATAAATGATCAATCTTAAAAGTACATCACATAAACAAATGTCAATACCTAAATCCCCAAATATTTCAAATTGCATATCACATTGAAATACCAACAATCCATGATGTTCCCCATCAAAACATAATTCCCAAGAGTTTTCAAACATATTGATTCACAAGATGAAATGCAAATTAAGGGCAGTAAATTTTTATTAGGCGCATGAAGTTTCTACTTCTTCTTTTTGGTGGGTTTATCTTGCTTTCTTGGATTAGCTCTCTTTTTATCATTTGAGGCACCTCTTGTCCTTGTTTTTTTTTTTGGCTGGATGTGTGCTTCGATTGGTGCCATGACTGTCGTGCTGCCACCATCTACTCTATTGGAAACACACGATTGTAGGCTGGATAAGGCAATGAAGGTGTTTCCTCCTTTAACAATAACAAGTGTATGAATGGTAGACGTCGAAGGCATCTACAAATAAAGAGAGTTCGTTTAGTACCAGAGTTGTAATAAAAATTGTATCTACATTCCCAAGAAAATGTTACTGTACTTTAATTGAAGCCTTTTTTTTCCTTGGACTGGTGTGGATTTTCGCTTTTGAACGAGCAGTGGTGGTAGCCTAGAAACACAAACAACAGACCGGACAATGAACTTGTGAAATGAAAGTACATATAAGCAGACCATACAGTTACCTGAGTTGGTGTTTTTTTCTTCCTTGGCCTAGTGCATGATCTTGTTGTTGATGGAGCATCACCATTATCCTGTAAGCATTGAAACCAAACACGACGGTTATCAAGTGAAATGGAATTGAAGTGAAGTTTTACAAAGCATACCATTGTGAGATTATCCGACTCCCTAATAGAGGGCTACGAGGATTTGTCGAAGCACACTGTGTTCTGGACATCTCATCCCAAATCCTCATCCTGAGCATTTTCCAGTGGCTCACTAATAGAAGCTCGTTTGGGGCAAGTTATCGAGTTGTGCCCAAAACTCTGACACGTTTTGCACCTAATTTTTCTAGGTGCACCCTTGAGTCTATATGGATTTTTTAATTTTGGAGGGGGTTCATTGGGTTCTCTGCCTCGCATGGTTACTGGTCTTCCAACACTTTTCTTTTCAACCCATGGGAGAGGTGCTTCCTTTACTGTTTTTTCGCATAAATCAGGTCCACTCAAAGGTAAGATTGGATAAGCATATGACTTCTTGTATGTAGACACAAAATAGCATTTGTGGACATAAGCCAATGGATCTTCTCATCTACACCAAATTGCAGAGACTGCATGCTTACATGGAATGTATGTGAAGTCCCATTTCCTGCAACTACATATTCTATCCCTCACATTAACTGTATGTTGGTCCAAAGATCCAGTAATCTGAAAATTCCAATCATCACTTCTCATTGGAATGAATTCAGAAGCCTCTTCCATCCTTTTCTTCATTATTTTCATTATTTTCAGACAAAGTGAATCGTCCAATTTTTCAGCTTTCTCCCGATTCAACTGCATCCTCACCATCAACAAGTTTCTTATCTTCTCTAACATGGAAATAATTGGCTTATCTTTCGCTTCATAATAAAACTGTTGAAAGACTCACATGTATTGTTAAGAAGCATGTCGCATCTAGGATACACACTAAAGTGTGACCTAGACCAATGATCCGGACTCTTATTTGCTAACCAATTAAACACATCTTCAGAAGCCTTTTTCATTTCCTCCATCCTTCGTTTAAACTCCGGAATGGTGGTAGCTTTAGCTGCTGCCCATAACAGCCTCTTCACTACAATGCCTGTATACCCATCACGTTTCATGTTTGTATGTAAATGTCTCACACAAAACCGATTCTCAGCCTGGGGCAAAATGGATTCGAAAGCAGGAATCAGTCCCTTCTGCTTATCACTCATGAACGTCCAATTATGTCCATCTTCAATATCCAAATCCCTCTTCAACCGCTCTAAGAACCACAGCCAACTATCTTTGTTCTCAACCTCAACCATAGCGTATACTATAGGAAAAATATTGTGGTTTGCATCAATACCCACAACACTTAACAACTGCCCTCCAAAGCTATCCTTAAGCCAACAACCATCCACACCTACCACCAGCCTACAGCCTTCAAGGAAGCCTCTCTTGCATGCAGAAAGAAAAACATATATCCTTTGAAACCGTTGTACTCCAGACTCTTCATCATCTATAAGTTTCAAAGACAGAGAAGTGCCTGGATTACATCTCTCAATCTCATTACAGTAGTCCCCCAACAAGCCATACTGCTCCACATTAGACCCGTGCAACAAGTCTAAAGCTTTCCTCCTAGCTCTATATGCCTTCGACATCGAGACCTTACACCTTAATGTTCTACATATCTCATCCCTAAAACCACCAGGATCCAACTTCGGATTCTCCTTAAGCTTTTTCATAAATGTCTTCCCAATCCAGGAAGACTTAATACTTGTGTTGTCATAAGTCCATCCTCATTTGCTATGAACTTCATTCATGCTACGCAATTGCCATGCTTCATCACCCTGCACCTTGGACACGAGCACGAACCACCCACACCCCTGTTTCTTGCATGTCGCTCTCAACCTACTCTTGTCAATCTTTGGATATTTCACACTCATCCCCCTCCTAAAACAATGGCTTTCAATGGAAAACTTAGCCTCAACCCTCGACTTAAACAACAACCCCAATTTCAGGTCTGGATTTTCACCACCAGTGTTTGAATTATATATTTCAAACTGGTTTGTCCCCTCATTTTCACTTCCATCACTTTTCATCCAACTATTTAACTCACTATCACTACCCATGACATATGTCTCACCATCCTCTTTTTGTAAAGTGTTCAAAACATCTTCAGCAACTGTGGAATCATCCACAATAGATTTTTCTTTCATCCTACCTTCAATTTCAACCCCAAGTACCCCACTCTCTAACTCAACTTCATTATCTGAGTCATCAAAATCAGAATCATTTTCTTCCATTTCACCTTCTACACAATCATTAGCCCGAGGAACTTCACCACCTAAATCTTCTATTCCACTAATTAGATTGGATTGAGGATCTTGGCTAAGCCCGATATCCAGATGTTCTAAGTAGATTTCGAGTTCATAATTATCTGGAATATGTTTTGTCATCCAAAATATATCATTATCACTTTCCAAACACTTGCATTGTCTATCAAAATTACCGTACTTCAACCAGAATCTAACACTATTCGCTTCTTTATATCCCAATTCCTCTGCATATCCCCACATTTCCAACACTTAATTTATCCATATTAACAAAATCAAAATAATCATGTTCTCCCCCTAAATATTCCCTACGAGACTTATGCCTCATCACACCGCCAAAATAAATTTTCAAAGTAGCAGAGGAATCTTCATTGAACATCGCCCCTACATTTCAGTAATGCTAAGTGTTTAACATAACATAGTATATTCATTCAAACCAGTAGGACAAAAGAACATAAATCAACACGTAACCACAATGTTATTTACTGGACATAATTCAATTTCTAGCACAATATAATCTCTTTTTTTTTTTTACCTCATTTTATTGAAATTAAAGCCTTTCATAGATGACATCAAATAAATTAACCACAATCCTAACGCAGACTGAAAAAATTACAATACGTAAACCATAAGCATATTTCAAATTAAGGGCTTTCAACTTACTGTAATTAGGGGTGAAATCAAGAGCGTGCTTGCTTCTACGCGCCATTGTCAACCACACACTGGAATCTACGCCTCTACGACGGAATTGAATGAACGAACTCCTGAACTAACTCCGCCTTCAATCTAGCTCTACTAGGGATGGCAATGATTGATGGGAATTAGGGTTTTGCAAGTGTAAATATGGGCGGAGTATCGGTGGGGAAAATGGGTTTTGCAAGTGTAACTCTCATGGTTTCTCCTTCCATGTAGTGGTAGTTGTAGTTGTTGTACCATGGAGAATGCATCAGCACAATCAGCCATGGCGTCTCCGACCTGTTCACCTTCACAGCTCCTCTTCGAGCCACGCGTATTGAGGAGTGTATTTACCTTTCAAAACAAGCAAAATAAATAAATACTCCATCCGTCCCAATACAATGGTCTTGTTTACCATTTTTGTCTGTCCCAAAACAATAGTCTTGTTTACCATATTTGTCCGTCCCAAAATAAGAGTCTTATTTCTATAAATAACCATGTCACCATAAAACTACCCCTATTTTTTCATTTTTATTACACAATTGTCACTCATTTTTACACTAATACACTTACAAGGACAAAAAAATCTTTTATCTATAATTTTTACCGACTACCAATATAATATCAATATTCTTTAAATCTCGTGTCCAACCCAATTAAGAATATAGTTCTAGGATAGAGCGAATAAATAACAAATAAGTAGTTGCACGCCATTTTGACCAGTTTTTCGGTTGCATTTTGTTTATTTACCAACCGTATGCTGAATAAGAAGCTAGAAATATGATATGTGCCGAAGCTCTCCTGATAGAGTACCAAAATGGTTCGATGCTTTTCGATGCTTTGTAAGGGACGTGATAACGGTGCTTGTAAGGCTTGAATGATTTTATTTCGCCCTGCAAAGATTTAACAGCTGTAAGCCTAATTCATCCCATACAACATGTATTATCATCGATTTCAGCACAAAAAATATATTCATACAACACACCTAAAAGTATGAACCGACAACACATTCTTTAATTTCATCTCCTAAATGATCAGATATCTACATTCTTATTTAATTGGTTTATTATATTTATAGTGTGTACATAGGGTTTGTTTGTTTTGTATTTTGATTTGATATATTTTTTATGTGATATATAAAGAATTGTATAAGTAATGTAAAAATATTATTTTATGTTGAATGTTGATATTTTGTGAGATTATAAAATATAAATATTTTATATATTCTTAATCATGTTTGAAAAAAATTATTGGAAGAACAAATCCTTGATTTTATGTAGTTATGACTTAATTTTGCAAATGCTAATTTTATGTGGATATATGAAAGAAATTTGTGACAAAATATGTTAGTTATGTTTGTATATTTAATTTGATCCACTATAGTACTATTCATGTGATTATGATAGAATTATTGAAATTGAATTTTTTTGTTTGAGTTTTGATTTAAATGATATTTTATTGATATTTTATAAAAGTAAATAATATAATTTTTTTATTGTGAACATGCAAGTTGAATAGTAATTTTTTGATTTAATATATAAAAAAAAGACTAAAAAATGTATCATTATAAAAATAAAGTAATATATAAAATGAATATAAAAAGATATTTATAAAATTAAAAATATGCAAAATAAACTTAATAAATTAATTAATAAAATACATAAAGAAATGTATTTATACATACAATATATATTCAATTGTAAAAAATTAACTATTTCAGATAATATAAAAAGAATATATATAGAAAAGTCTAAAATAAATTTAAAATATATACAACTATTTTATAACCATCTGTAAAAATAGCACAAGAAAAAAAAATGGGTGCAGTTGGCCCAAAAAACAAAACTCTATTTAAATTATTGTAAAAAATTCTAAAATAAAATAAAAATATAATTAAATGAATAAAAATCTGTTCAACCGTTCAACCTTCTAGAACAATCCAGTGCATACTATATAAGTCTTCAATTGTGAGATTAGGGTTATTATATATTTTTACAGGCGCCGCCGCTGCTATTCTTCTTGTTCAGATTTGGGTTTCTGATGTGATAAGAGTTTTTTTTTTGTTCGCCTTTGATTTTCGTTTACTTCAGTTGAAGATATGAAAGATATATGAGAAAGGTAAAATGAGATCTTCATTTATTTGTTTGTTGCTTCAGTTAAAGATACGAGAGATATAAGAGAAAGACAAAATGAGATCTTGGCACCAAAATTTGGAACAAAAGAAAACTGAGAATCGATTGTTGGGCGATGGATGCAACGGTGGCGAGATAGGTGTTGGTTCTTTAGATGATGAATCAAATACTATTTTGAGGTAGGTTTTGTAAAATAAATTAAGGATTTAAAGCAAGTACCTTTACTGTGATAAAAACTATGATGCATCAATCAATAGTGCAGTATTAATTGGATCTTGTTCTTATCAAACTCCACCATCAATTATGAGCGAAGGGAAAGGACTTGGATCAAACACGAAAAAACTTCCGCTCACTCTTGGCAACGAAATCTCAAAATCATCCAGCATTGGTCGCCGTTCGACAACTACGAAGATCTCCTTTGTCAGGTAGCTTTTGAATCGATGACTAAGAACAGATACTATTCCCAGATGATCGTCGATACGAACAAAAATTAATCTTTGAATATTCTATCTGTGCATTTGCTTGTCCAATAGGACGTACAAATTCGAGGAGCCAGCCGAGACGAGAGCCAGATAGAGAATGCAGCAGTATATGAGATTCCACCCGGATTTCGGATTGTCTTACGGGGCATCGATGTTCAGCATCAAGATATAATCGACGATATGATTTACCCCCAAGAGATGCATTACAAACCAGCAGCGTCGAAAGATCCGAAGGTTTGGAACCCAGCTGGAAGCCACGGCAGAGGAGTCGTCGGTACGCTGTCCATCCCTATCGTTGGTCAAACACATTTTATCGTAGGTCATGTTAACATTGGTCGTGTTTCAGGTGTCCTCGAAGCGAACTTTGTCGATCCGGCGCACGATAAACAAGGATTCGAGCGAACGACCACCCTGTCTCAGCTTGAGTCAAGACTTAAGTCCAACCAGAAAAACTCATGGTTTCTCATCTTGCTCAAAGTTCACTTTGATTCGGTTCAAACTGCCGGTTTCAATTTTTAGGTCGATTTATACTTTCTGCAGGTCCCGAAATTGCCATCTCGACTGGATACTGACAAGATTAGCGGTATCAAATTTCTGCATTCATCTAAGTGGACTGATCGACGCTGGATTTGGGGAGGAGACATCTTTCTTGTTCGGACCTATGTTGACGGTGACAAATTTAGGAGGGCTAATAATTTTCGTAAACCCTACAGGTTGACACATCCAATTAAGAAAAGAAAATGGATAACATGCCGGGACGGATGAGAGAAGACGCCTTTTTCTCGGACCCCAGGTATTGCCTCGAGGAACCCCACGAAGCTGTTTGGATTGATGCACCAGAAGATAATTCTGTTCTTGAGGGATCTTCTTAGCTAGTAGGTAACAAGTTGTAATTTTGTTGGATCATAGTCATTGTTTGTACTTAATTCAACATCGGAACGAAGTTGTTTGGATTGATGCACCGGAAGACAATTATGTTCTTGAGGGATCTTCTTTGCTAGTAGGTAACAAGTTGTAATTTTATGGGATCATAGTCATTGTTTGTACTTAATTCAACATTGGAAAGGATAGGGTTTTGATTTTTTGTGGTCGACCTACTGATTGTAAGTATTTTGTTTGTCCAAAGCAAACCAATTACGCAAAGGGGATATATTGATATTTCGATTGATTGACACTTGCAAGTATGAATTTTAATTGTTTCTAACCTCAATATATATATATATGTTCTCATAGGTAAGATAATTTGCTTGATTGGTAAGTAAATTATGGATGGATTTTTGCAAGTGCTTTTGTGTGGATATGGATAGGAACAAAGGCTTCGGCCAGAACTATGATATGTGCTGAAGCTCTCTTGATAGAGTACCAAAATGGTTCGGTGCTCTTCGATGCTTTGTGAGGGACGTAATAACAGTGCTTACAAGGCTTGAATGTTCCGTTTCACCCTGCAAAGATTTAACAGCTGTAAGCATAGTTGATCCCATACAACATATGTTATCATCGATTTCAGCACAAAAAAATATTCATACAACACACCTAAAAGTAAGAACCGACAACACATTCTTTAATTTCATCTCCTAAATTACCAGATATCTACTCATCCTCTAATCCAACAGCGAGCATAAACATAATTCTTTTTCAGAAATGGAATTTGAGAAGCTCAAGCAGTTGTGACTAAATGAAAATAGGGATTGATTCTATGATATGATCCCTCTAATGACAGAAACTACATAGTTAAAGGAGATGAAGAACACTTACAATTTTAGGATCGAAATCGATCTCATGATTTCCAGCAGTCCAAATCCAGGGTTGGAAAGCCACACTCCTCTCCACAAACCTCCCCCATGAATCCCACCTCCTATTGTCATGGAAATCATACCTATCGGCATAAGAAAGATCGCCAACAAACAACAGAGTCTGCCCCTTCTTCGGATTCTGCTCATAATGTGTAAGTGTCTCGTTTGAATCGTAACTCTGCCCCAAATCCCCTGTCAAAAAGCTCACGAAACTTCAATTCAATCATTTTGTATCCTGCCTATCCAACAAGCAATAACAAATAAACAATACAAGTAACTATATATGTATGTATGTATATACCTATAAGACAAAAAGTATATAGAGCATCAGGTCCAACAAGTTGAGGTGTAGTGAACCAGAAAGTTCTTGTTGTGTACCCAATACCAATCTCGTAATAGTATTTGGTATTATACTGCCCAAAATTTAGAGTAATCAATGTTAGATTCACCACTTTTTGATGCACATAATCAAAGTTTTTCTCCTATTCAGGAATCAAAAACAAATTATCCAGAAGAAACACATAAAGAAGATACAGAAGTGCAGAGAGTCTTCCTCCAAATTCCCAACAGTGCAATGATGGATGTATCAGAAGTGTAGTTGTAAAATGTGTACCTAGTGACCTTCCCCTCTGCCTTCTTCTTCTTCCTCTCATTGCTGTTCTCAGCCCAATACAGCACTGTGCTCGAACCTTGTTCATCTCCAGTTACCCACGATACAATCACTGCTTTTCCTTCGTAATCTCCCTGGCACCTGAAAAAAAAAAATAAAGAAATTGTTGGGAATTTTGGTTCCTTCGATACCTAATCCAACAAGCCCAGCCCACCGAATCGGTCCAACCCTTTAATCCTAACCCACTCTCTTCAACCCAAGCCCATTAATCTTTTATTATAAGCAATTTAGAATTTAGTTACTGGGTTTGTTATAGAGTTAGTTTTGGGAAAAGTTTCTAGATATATAAATCTAGAAATTTAATAGACTGTGGTAGTTAATAAAAAAGAGAGATATGGGTTTATCATCGAGGTGTGGGATACAACAGATTGGGAGATCGAGGGGTGAGAGTGAGGGAGAGAACCGCGAATGGAGTTCCAGTGACCCAAGAGGATTCCGGTGAGTTTCGAGTGGTTTTCAGGCGAGTGAATAGCCATTCCAGGATTCCGGTGAGTTTCGAGTGGTTTTCAGGCGAGTGAATAGCCATTCCGGTGGCCGATTCCAGTGGGTGTCGAGGCTTAGAGTGAAGAGCCAACCTCCATCTTTAGGCGTGGTTACCATAGGCCATTGTGCACCATGGGGCTGAGCCGAAAACCACTGTTCCCTTTGCCAGTGTGATGATTGGAAGAAAGATAGGATGAAAGAAGATTGATGTTCGTTTTGGTTCGATTGGTTCCCGGAGCTGTTGTCGGATGACCGGAGAAGATGGGTGGAGATGCTGGACCGCCGGAGATGAAGGCCGCACTGCTGCCGGGAGCCGAACTGAGCCACTGCTTGTTGCCGCTGCTATCCAGTCGCGCCTAGTCGCCCACCTCCCCGCTGTTCGTCGTGATTAAAGCTGGAAGAAATCGACGAATAGAAAGAAGATAATAGCAAGAGATCGAAACTGGGAAGTCTTCTCGCTTTCTTTCTTCTGTCTGCTTCCAATTTAATTCAATTAGGTTCTTTTTGTTTGGTATTTGATTTCGGTATTAGTTAATTTGGGTTTTATTCGAATTTTATTTTCGCTGATAATAATTTATTGTAAAGATTCGAGAATAAATTCACAATTGAAATAAAAATTCAAAACAAGTTTACTCGCATTGAAAAAAAAATAAACAACTTGATGAACTTGAAATCGAAGCTGAATAACACAAAATTAAGCGCGAAAACCAAAATTAAACAACCGAGGACTTCGAAAAACACCTGCTGCGGAGCATTGTAGCCTGGAGGAACCTTGAAGACGTCACTGTCGAGGGCATATCAAACGCCTTCTCATTACTTCTCACAAAACTGCTAGGTATTCCTCCGATGTACTGTAATTGAATTTATTCGAGACTAATGAATGTTGGGATTAAGTGAACTTGGAGATAGGATGCGTGGAGTGGGCACTCGAAAAAGCTAATTTTGACAAGTAACACAAATTCTGACAGAGATTATTGATGTGTCTAATAATATTTAAATAATGAATTCAAACTTTTGTTTGAATTATTTTGAATTCAAGCTAATATTTGAATAGAAAAAACACATCCATTCATTTTGAAATTGAAATTTTAATTCAACCATTATGTCTGTTCAATTTGAATGAAATGTTGCTTAGGATTTATAAATAGATTGATTGGTCTCAGTTGCAGATAGACGAAGAGATATCAAAACAAGATAAATATATATACAGTGTTTTATCTCTATAAAAAATTATAGCCATATACACATTTTATTACCTACGTTCACCATGTCTCGATATCTACTATCAGAATTCAAAATTGAACTTTGTATTATTCCAATACGAATTTTGTGTAACTCTTAGTAGAAATTCGGTCAAAATATCGTATTCGGAAAGCGAGCTAGAGTTATATCCGGCCATTTTCGTTGTTAACCCAAGAAAATCCCCAACATGCACAAAACTGCCGCATTCAGAACCGCAACAGCCACCAACAACATAGTCGCCATTTCCTTTATCCTCCTTCCTTCCACAACAATATCGACACCTACCGTACCTCAATCCGATCGCCTCTGCCGCGTACAGCCGCACATTGACGGAGAGTATCCGACAATTTGCGCCAAGTCCAAGTGTGATGATGAAATGGATAACGACGGAGCAGTCTTTGTAGAAAATCGTTTATGGGAATGTGAACTCTCTCACTCCAGTTGACTTTAGTTACATTCCTTTCCTTCCCTCGCTCGTACTGATTAGAGGATCACAACGCCATATTTAATCTGTACCGTTCATCTTGAGAGACTCATTTCATCAACGGTGTTTATTTACCAAGGCATTCGAATTCTATGAGTGTATTTGGAAATGGAAATTTTGTCGTCTGTAATCATTGGGAAAATTTTAAATTATTACTCTTATTCATACGTTGATTAATAATAATAGTCCCTCGTTCATGTAAATTTATCCCGATTGATGGGACACAAATTTTAAAAAAAAGAAGATAAATATATATATATGATAAATTAAAAAATAGTATTTGAATGACAGAAATTATATATTTAATAGGTTTATTATTATTAATATTATTTTTTATGAAAATATAGACCCTTAGAATAACATAAGGGGAGGGTACCTTGCTATTTGGGCATGTCAATTTGGCCTAATAGTGTGACCGTGAGCTCATGGTTCAAATCTCACGCCTCCAGGTCTACGTGTTTCGCCTAATGTGACTTGTCTCGTCGAATCTAATTTGCATGATATTAGGTTCACTTAGAAGTTTATCTAGTACACACTTTCGGGCAGAGGCTGCGAACTCCTACGTTATATTAAAAATATAACTTATATTTTTTTCTTTGCGGCTTTGTTACCGTGCTGATTAAATATCGACTGTCAAATTTATTACTGCACAATATCATCCTATAGACGCAACACAGTAATCCTTTTTTATTACTATATTCTATGCTCTCGTTATTACCAGTGTTTATAACTAAATTATAATTGTTTCTTACATTAAAAAATATGTTTTTATAACCATATTTGTAAATACAAAAAGTATTGATTCAAAATTCTAGTAAATTATAATTAATGAATTAAATTTCATTTGTGACATAAAAAATATATATTATTACTGATTTTTTTAAAAAACACAATGATTATTTTAACATCCTCTCTTTAAAGGTGGAAGCATCAATTATCCAAAGGATTCTTTCAAAGTCTAGAAGCTTATGTTCGAATTGTTGTATCCAACAACTCAATGAAGGTTGCTGCTCTTACTATTGTTCTGACTTTAATACCACTGAATTCTAACCCCAGCACCACCAAAATAATAGCTTCCACCGTGTGCACACCAAGTTTATATCAAGAAAACACAATATTAATTATGAAATAGCACAACAATAATATTTTAAAAACAGAAAGATTACTTCAAAAGAACACAAAAGAATTTTCAAAATAACACAATGAAATTAAAATAAGAATGAGAGTGTACGCTCGGGCCTGTTTTGCAGGGTATTAGGTTCGGCCGGGGTTTATCCAATACGCACTTTCGGATAGCGGCTGCGGATTCTCACGTCATAAAAAAAATGAGTGTGTATGCATCCGTTTTCGAATAAAAGATCCTAGCATATCAAAATATATAATTAACTATCCAAACTAATATATATTATAGTTCACCTTAATTAATAACAATAGTATAAGCAGAGGCAGATGCTACACAGATGGTGATGGTAAAGCTCAGTTGAATACTGAAAATGATGAGGGCAGATATGCAGTAAAATCAATAATAAACTAAGAAAGTGGGTGTGCCTGTATATGTTAATAAAATTTTAAAATTCTGATTGTTGTGATTTGGTGATATATGAATCCAAACTATCTGATAAACATAGTTGTTAAATTACGAAAATACAATGATTATATCACAAAAGCAAAGTAAACTATGAAATAGCACAACAATAATATTTAAAAAACACAAAGAATACGTTGAAAAAACAAAATAAAAATTTTAAAATAGCATAATAATTCGGTTAATGCATAATTCAAACAAAATAACATAATCAAAAGAAGTCATATAGTGCAATTAAACATCAAAATCGTGACAGTAAATGCATAATTCAAACAATGAACCACTGGACCCTCCATGTATAAAGTTCTCTCATAAATAAATCAAATTGCATAAAATAAGCCACCACACATACAGATTTGGACACAACAGTGATTTATACTAATTTTAGAATGCACAAAAAAAAAAAAAAGGAAAGGAAAGAAATTCAAAAAATTGATATGAAAATACACAATGATTATATCACAATAGCACGATAATTATATGACAAGAGCACAATTATTATAGCACGAAAGGACAATGATTATATGGCGAGAGTACAATAATTATATCACAAAAGTACAATATTAATTCTAAAATAGGACAACAATAATATTTAAATAGTACAACAACAGATATATATAAGTGAGGATCAATTCAAAAAGAGAGAGAGAGAGAGTAAGAAGCAATTGAGATCTTTTTAAAAAATAAAAAATTGATATGAACAGAACACTTGTTATATCACAAAAATACAATAATTATATTACAATAGGACATTATTAATTATAGAAAAACACAAACAATAAATTAATGGATAATTTTTATTGTGCTCTATACAAATTTCTTTCTAATCTTCTGCGGTCATTTGGTTTATCTTCTCATGTATTTATTATTCTTATTTCATTCACTTGCTTTAAATATCTAATTACTTAATTTATTAATTAATTAATTTTTCAATTTAGTTACTTTTAATTTGTCTTCTATGATTTTAATATTCGATTACTTATATTTATTTATTTAATCTATTATTTTCTAATGCTTATTAAGAAGAATATAAAAATATACAATAAATTAATTATAGGTATTTAAATCCGAAGAAAGAAGACAATGTTCCACAGAGGAAAGAGATGTTGCAGGGAAAAAGTGGGTGCTCCGGCCAACCAAAAAAATTCTATTTAAAATATTATTAAAAACTTTAGAATAAAATAAAAATATAATTAAATGAATAAAAATATTTTGAACCTTCTAGAACGATCCAGTGAATATTATATAAATCTTGAAGCGTGAAATTAGGGTTATTGCATATTTTCACGGCGGCGCTATTGTTTGTGTTCATATTAGAGTTTACGATGTTATAAGGGCTTTTTTTAGTTTGGGTCGATTGATTTGTGTTTTTCTTTTTAAATTTTCAGTTGATTTGCTTGTTTGATTTTCGTTTATTTGTTTTCTTGCTTCACTTGAAGATATGAGAGATGATATGAGAGGCAAAATGAGATTTTGGCACCACAATGTGGAACAGAAGAATACTGAGAAGATCTGGTTGAAGATTGAGAATCGATTATTCGGCCATGGATGGAACGGTGGTGAGATAGGTTTTGTAAAATTGATTAAATATTTGAAGCAAGTATCTTTACAACAACTATGATGCATCAATTAATCGTGCAATACTCATTGGATCTTGTTCTTATCAAACTCTACCATCAATTATGAGTGAAGGGGAAGGACTTGGATCGAACCCGAAAAATCTTCAGCTCACTCTTGGCTAGGAAATCTCGAAATCATCCAGCAGTGGTGGCCGTTCGACAAAGATCTCCTTCATCAGGTAGCTTTTGAATTGATGACTAAGAACAGATACTATTCCTAGATGACGAACAAAAATTTATAGTTTTCTCCTCTGCAGTTCGATTTCTTGGATAAACAAGGAACGCAGATCATAATCTACAATATTTGGGAAGACGACGAGGGATTGCCTGAATTGGATTTCGACACAGTTGAACACATTTTATCGTTGGTACGCCGTCCAGCTAGAAACGACGGCAGAGGAGTCGTCGGTACGTTGTCCATCCCTATCGTTGGGTCGAACACATTTTATCGTCGGTCATGTTAACATTGGTCGTCTTTCAGGTGTCATTGAAGCAAACTTTGTCGAGCCGGCGCACGATAAACAGGGATTCGCGCGAACGACTGCCCGCTCTCGGCTCGAGTCGAGACTTATGTCCAACAAGAAAAACTATTGGTTTCTCACCTTGCTCAAAGTTCACTTTGATTCTGTTCAAATTGCCGGTTTCGATTTTTATGCTTAATTTTTACGCTTTCTGCAGGTCTCGAAATTGCCATCTCATCGGCTATGCTCAGCGGCGCGGACCTGAGAAATGTGCTTCACCTGAGCCGGCTATCAAATTTCTTAATTCATTTGAGTGGACTGATCGATGCTGGATTTGGAGAGGAGACATCTTTCTTGTTTGGACCTGTGTTGATGGTGACAAATTTAGGAGGGCTAACAATTTTCGTAAACCCTACGGATTGACTCATCCAATTAAGAAGAAAAAAGGATAACATGCCAGGACGGATGAACCTTTTTCTCAGACGGACCTCAAGTATTGCCTTGAGGAACCCCACGAAGCTGTTTGGATTGATGCACCGGAAGATAATTCTGTTCTTGAGGGATCTTCTTAGCTAGTAGGTAACAAGTTGTAATTTTGTGGGATCATAATCATTGTTTGTACTTAATTCAACATTGGAAAGGAGCGTACATTGTAAGTTCAATAGAGTTTTGATTTTTCGTGGTCGACTTACCGATTGTAAGTATTTTGTTTGTCCAAAGTACACCAATTGCGCAAAGGGGACATTGATTTTCCGATTGATTGACACTTGCAAGTATGGATTTGAATTGTTTCTAACCTCAATATTTATATATATTCTCATGGGTAAAATGATTCATGGGCGCAAATGAGACATCCTAAACTTTGTATTCACTGGCTAAGTTAATTTGCTTAATTGGTAAGTAAGTTATGTATGGATCTTCGCAAGTGCTTGTGTGGATATGAATAGGAAGAAAAGCTTCGGCTAAATATGTTTTATATGTTTGAGTGTGTGGTTTGATCTACCAATAGTACTCATTCCTATGATTCTGATAAAGTATAGAATCTTTAGAACAACAATAGAATATTTTTGTTTTTCTAAACGAATGTGTCAGATTTCGTAATAATTAGCAATTTGAATTCGGACAACGAATTCTTTTTCAAGAACCCTCATGGTGCAAGCGATTCCATTATGAATAATTGGCTCCATTAGATAGATTAGATAGTTTCTCCCTTCGTGCGGGTTAATGTTTATTGTTTCCTTCAATACAATGCTCGAGCTAACATCAATATTGAATAGTAGTTTTACATTTATTATCTTTAGGATGTTGGCGACTTAAACTAGAGTTCCACAGATAAAGCAATAGTTCAATAGTCGGAAATAAGCATTTCCCTTAGATATTTTTAAAAAATATCCAGAAATTTGTACTGCTTCCTTACAAAGCAGCACAACGACTGCAGTCGGAAATACAAGTACCCTATAACAAATTACTATTATTATTATTGAGCAGTGGTAGCAGTAGAATCGTCGATAGAATGACAGTACCTGTTGAAGAACCACATGGAGTCGGCTTCCACCACGACCCCATCATGGTTCCGGTGCCAGCTGTAGTACGCGTGTGTCCTGTTCTTTATAGCGAATGTCGCATGCCCAAAGCTCGCCTCCCGGAATGCCGAGTATTTTGGTTGTGGCTCTGTCATGCTGACATTACATTACAATCATTACAGCCTTCATTAGGATTTATTTAGTGATTGTTATGAATCTCACATGTATTTTATAAGAATCAAATCAAATATTTATTTTTTTAATATATTAAACAATTTTAAAATTTCATTTAAAACATTACATATTATCTGTGTTGTGTGTTTCTTACGCCTTCGAGATTTCCTCCATCTCCGATGATTATGTAAACAGGGGCCGACTGGTCTCTCACCGGTGTACAAATTCCATTCACAACATTGTACGCAATGTTAGACACGCGTTCCTGAAATATTTATCATTTTATAGAGAATAAACACGTACAAAAGTATATATACCTATATAAAGATATGAAACTGATTTTGATGGAAGAATGTGAATAAAAGCAATCAATCTGTGGCAAGGTGGACGTGTTTGATGCAACATACCAATCGTTCATAGGCGTGTACATGTCATCTCCGATCTGTTTACCTTCGGCAGCTCTTCTTCGAGCCACGTGTATTGAGGAGTGTATTTACCTTTCAAAAACGAGCAAAAAAGAATAAAAAACAAGTAGTTGCACGCCATTTTGACGAGTTTTTCAATTGCATTTTGTTTATTTACCAACCATATGCTGAATAAGAAGCCAGAACTACGATATGTGCTGAAGCTCTCTTGATAGAGTACCAAAATGGTTCGGTGCTCTTCGATGCTTTGTACGGGACGTAATAACGGTGCTTATAAGGCTTGAATGGTTTCGTTTCGCCCTGCAAAGATTTAACAGCTGTAAGCCTAGTTGATCGCATACAACATATGTTATCATCGATTTCAGCACAAAAAATATATTCATACAACACACCTAAAAGTAAGAACCGACAATACATTCTTTAATTTCATCTCCTAAATTACCAGATATCTACTCATCCTCTAATCCAACAGCGAGCATAAACATAATTCTTTTTCAGAAATGGAATTTGAGAAGCTCAAGCAGTTGTGACTAAATGAAAATAGGGATTGATTCTATGATATGATCCCTCTAATGACAGAAACTACATAGTTAAAGGAGATGAAGAACACTTACAATTTTAGGATCGAAATCGATCTCATGATTTCCAGCAGTCCAAATCCAGGGTTGGAAAGCCACACTCCTCTCCACAAACCTCCCCCATGAATCCCACCTCCTATTGTCATGGAAATCGTACCTATCGGCATAAGAAGCCCCTTCTTCGGATTCTGCTCATAATGTGTAAGTGTCTCGTTTGAGTCGTAACTCTGCCCCAAATCCCCTGTCAAAAAGCTCACAAAACTTCAATTCAATCATTTTGAAGCACTGGGAAGTTCCAAGTTTAGGCTATGATATTTAAAGCTCTCCAAGACCATAATGTGTAAGTGTCTTGTTTAACACACGCGTGCACACACATGCCAAATTTATTGGGATTGTCCAGGTTCGAACCCATACTTGAGTTCTTATAAGGGTGTCAATCCGTTTTTCCGGTCGTATTTGTGTGTCGGGTTAAGCCGTGAATATTACAAAAAGTCTGACAATTCGAATACGATACGAATTTTTTTGGGTCAGATCTAGGTCAATGGTTTGTTTCAAGTCATCCGATGACTCAAACAAATCTGAGAAACCTGATACGAACTAGTCCCGAAAATCTGAAAATTTTAAACTTATTTAAGAAACCCGATGCAAAAACTTAATTTTGTTTGTTTATAATTAGTATCATTATTTACTTTTTATAATTTTAACTTTTTTATATTATCTTATTTCTAATATATTAATTTGGAGCAAAAATCATAAGTAGTCCCGTTGAAATCTTATTATTTTTTTTTTCATTTTTAGTCTCATTCAAAAATATTTATCAAAATTAATCCCATTAAAAAACTTATTCATCAATTTTGGTCCTGTGTAGGTGATTCAGATCCAACACTAGCGTTTTCTATAGAACACGCCCGTGTTTTTATTTCCAGACCTACTACCCAGCTGTAAAAGAGAGGAAGCGCTGACGAATGTTGATCGGAATTTCTGTTCCACAACCTGATCGCTTCCTTTTTAATTTTTGCTCGATTGAGAATGGAGTCGGACAATTTCAACATATCAGAGTTATTTTGGTTTCAAAGGAATAACCGTCATCCACGGTACCATCCAGTTCCGGTGAGGCGAGCAGCAGTTGGAGATAGAGTTCGATCTGCAGAAGAAGTTCGGGGAACTGGCGGCGTATTTCCAGCAGCACCAAGCTGAAGCAGCTCAAGTATTTCAGCAAGCACACCAAAAATCACCACACATTAGCTGGAGGTCGGCTTCTTAAGGAGCAGAAAAATCAGATTGTTGATAATGTCGATTCCGATCGAAACTCGTCGGCGCTCTTCCTTTCTCTGACCTTCTCAGCTGGGCATCTACGTGACAATGATATGTCAGCTGCGTTAACGGTGGACCAACGTGGCGAGTTTGACACCCGAAGATTATTTTAGCGAAAACTTTTTACTTATGAAACTATTTTCAGACATGGTCCATTTAAAGTCCTAAAATGATAAAATGGATCAAATACGAAACAAAAAAAAATAGTTTATCCATAGAAAAGTGACAAATTAGTTATTATTTCTTAAATTAAGAATAATAAAATTATGGGTTGATAAAATTATTTATTATAAATAGATTGTATATAAATTTAGTGGACAAAAACTAAAATAAAATAGTGATACGACTTTAGTATACCGAGGAAGTATTGCTTATGAAGTGGGGATCTCTATTGCAAATACTCTTAGGTTATGTATAAATATATTTTGAAGAATGTTTGAAATTTTATACGTAAACATTAACCACCGTGTGTCTTCTTGATCTATCTATATATTGGGAAAAAAATATTTTTGGTCCTAATATAACAAAAATTCATCAATTTTGATCCCAATATAAAAATCTTATCAATGTTGGTCCCAATATAACCAAAACTCATCATTTTTTGTCCGAATATAAAATCTTTATCAATTTTAGTCCCAATATAACCAAAACTCATCATTTTTTGTCCCAATATAATCAAACCTTATCTTTTTTTTGTCTCACCGTCAACAAACCAACGGAAAATGCTTACGTGGACTTAACGGAGTCGAGCTGGCAAGTGACCTGGAATGAACACGGCCGTGTACCAGAAAACACGCCCGTGAACATACAAGTCAGCATCCGCCAGTCACCATACACGGCCGTGTGACATTGAACACGGCCGTGTAAATTGATTACGGCCATGTTTCCTGGTTGTGTCGACACACGGCCGTGTGAATAAAACGAACACGGCTGTGTTCATCTGAACGGGCAATTCCCGCGAAGAAACACGGCCATGTTAACGTTTCACACGACCGTGTTAGAGTTCACAGCCATGGATCAGGCTGAGTTTCTACCACGGCCGTGTGTTGTTGTGACACGGCCGTGTTGGCGTCGTTATTTCTGTTATCTCCCTCGTATTTTACATGGTCGTGTTAAGTTTCATAAGGGTGTGTATCTTTCTGTTTGGAGATTAAATGTTAATATTTTTTTTTTTTAAGTTTAACCAATTTTGAAGTTTGAATTAAAATTAGTAAAAATAACCCAAACATCTGTCTTTAGATTATTGTAAGGAATAATACATATTTAAAACAAAAAATCATTACATACTACACGCAAAATACAAAAAACAGAAAGCTACTCGTCCTCGTTTCTGTTTGGATGATCCGCAAACAAAGCATTTGTATCAATTGTGACATCGCCGTGTCCCGGTGTAGATGCATGAGGAGCACCATCGTTTGGTGAAATAGGAATGGATAGATGCTGAAAAATACGCGAAAATGAAGATCTCATCTCCAACCGCATACTGTCCATCTGGCGATGTACCTCCATTTGCAACTCGTCCATACGGCGATGCAGATCCATGCGTAAGTCATCAATGGC